ACATGACTTTACTGACGCTTCCCCCCCCCCTTCGCTTCTCCACAACAGTCCTCGACCTCGCTCGTGCCGATCACCGCCACCGCAGTGGTCACCTCGACGCCGACGGCGAGCATCGCTTCGGCCACCGCATCCGCATCGCCCAAGTCGTCCTCGTCGTCGGCCGGCCCAATCATCGGCATCGTCGCCGGTGCGCTCGTGGGCGTCGTCGTGCTCTCGGGTCTGGTCGGCTTCCTCTTCAAGAAGTACAAGTCGAAGGAGGACCCGTACGAGGCCAACCCCTTTGACCGCGACGCCTTCCAGCGCCACTCGGCCATGATCCCGGACCACTTTGACTCGGACGACGGCCACGCCGGCGCCGGCGGCATGTCGCCCGAAATGTCAGAGCACTACCAGTACAACAACTACGCGCCCCAGTACGAGTCGGGCATCAGCGCCGGCGCGGCGGGTGCCATGGGTGCCATGGCCGCGCACAACGAGGGCGGCCCGCGCCCACCCACCATGTTCGCCAAGCATGCCGCGGGCGTGCAGCAGAACGCGCCGCAGGTGGGCGGCTACTACAAGGACGGCGACTTTGCCAACCAGATGCCCGCCATGCCGCCGCACTCGGACTACCATGCGCCGCCCACTGCGGCGTTTGCCAACCACCACGCCGCTGAGCACTACCTCGAGGAGCCTGGATTCGGACAGCAGCGCAGCGTGTCGCCTGCGCCGCAGCTGCCGCCCCTGGCGGCGTTTGGCGGCGACCCGTACTCGATCGCCGGTGTGGGACGCGGTCAGCAGCAGAACGTGGCGAACCCGTATGCGCACCTCGACCGCTCGCACGCCGGCATGGGCGGCTTTGTGCCCGGCGCCGTCGTCCCCGGCCACGCTGGCTCGGCCTCCGTGTCGTCCGGTGGCGACTCGGCGGACCGCCACGCGTCGATCAGCGCCGCCGAGGCGCTCGCTGCTGGTCTGGCGCACCAGTCGTCGCTCAACCGCGCGGCGAGCCCGCACCACGCCGCCAGCCACGACACGGCCGGTCGACCCAGCACCTCCGAGGGCCGCTCCGGCACACCGGACATTCCCAACGTGCAGCAGACGTACGCTCTGCCCGGCGACGTCGCTGGTGCCGCTGGATCGCACCGCATCAGCGCAGGCTCGCAGGACATGCTCTCGAACGCCGCCACCTCGCCCGTGGGCGCCATGAGGAACCCCTTTGACAACCCCGCCCCGCACCACGCGCCCCAGCACCACTACACCGACCCGAGCCAGCAGCTCCAGGTGCGCAACCTCGTCCCAGCCAACGCTGGCCTCTCTGCTGGCCAGAGACCCGTCTCGACCGCAAGCTCGTTTGCCGACCCCGAAGATGCCTATGGCGGCGTCTACTGAGTCTGCACCCACACTCTCTTTCTTTCTTTCGCCTTCGTTGTGTGTATTGTTTTGTTCTCACTTTCTCCCCGGACGCCTTGGGCTGAAGGGTGGGGGTTACTGTCGCTCCTTTGTTGCTTTCGTTTGTTTCGCTCGAGTCCGCCGCCTGGCGACACCAGTGGTTGCTTTTGCTGGTTTGTCGCACTGTTCATTCGCCTTTGTACGTGAAAAAAAAAATCAACGGTCTCGCTCTTACAAAGGCCCGGTCTGTGTTTGACGTGCAAGACACACTGATTCGCACGTGGCGATTGAAGACGAAAAGATGCTTGGAAAGAGTGTGTGGCGGGGCTAAAGTACAGAGCGGATGCAGGGGTCGAGTGACAGGGCGATGCGAAAGCGAGGGCGAGGGGGTTACCAGTTGGCGAGGGCTTCTTTGGTGAGGGGTTCGGTTTCGTGTTCGTACTCGATTTCGATCTGGGGGCCCTTCTTGCCCGCGCGCGGGGGCTTTTTGCCCTTCTTGGTCGGGGCTGTGCTGGGGCCCTTGGGCTTCTTTCCTGTGGTGGGTTGGTCATCGTCGCTGCTGGCATCGTCATCATCGGCGTCCGAGTCAGAGGCAATGGTGTTGCCGTCCGTATCGTACAGGTCCTCGAGGTCATCTTCGTCGTCATCCTCATCGTCGTCGGAAACGAACTCGCGGTCGCCAACACCCTCTTCGTCCTCGAACTCCTCCTCCATCATGCGGTCCATTTCTTCGAGGTCTTCTTCAAGTTCCTCGTCGGACTCTTCGTCTTCGAGGTCGAGGTCTTTGTTTTCCTTGTTTCGGTTCTCGAGCACCTGCATCCAAACGTCCTCGTTGACGTTGAGAGGTGCATCACCATATGCACCCGACTTGAGACGCTCCAGCAATTCCTTTTCGATCGACTTTTCCAGCCTTGCTGCCTTGAGCGCCTTGAACTCTCTCCTGTCCTCCCTTCGCTCCGTCTTCTTCTTGATCGACACGAGCTGTGGTTGCTCCTCCTCCTTGAGCTTGATGCGGCGGAGTTTGATGAGGTACTGGGTGATCTTCGTCAGACGTTGCTTGGCCTTGTGTGTGATGAACTTGGGCCAGTAGATGAGCTCCTTATCGATCTGCTCCAGAGCGCGAGAGTAGTTGTTGGACAGCTTGATGCGTTCCCACTGACGTTTGGGAGAGTGTGCACGCTCGGCAGTCTTGACGTACAGATAGACGATGCCCTCGCGCTCGCGCACCGTCGCATAGCGCGAGTTGGCCAACGGACACGACTGTCGGTTACACAAACCCGTCAGGTTGTACTCGTTGCGACAGAATGTAGAGTGCGTCTTGGACTTGATCTTGTACGAGCAGAACTCGTGCCCGATGATCGTCCAGATCACATCGTCCGACTGCATCTCGGCAAGCTCAAGCGCGAGACGCCGCGGGGTATAGGTCGAAAAAAGTTGGGGTGGGAAGCCTTGTGCCTATCGAGTTATGCTGTGGGGAAGCTCTGTGGAGAGGTTGTGTGTGTGCTGGTAGTGTCGGCGCAGATGGTGCAGTGATGGCGAGAAGCTGAGTGGGATGGTGAAAGGGTCCTGCGCAACTAGCAAGGCCGTGGTGGAGCTGGAGCCAAAATTTCCCACTCGAACACAAAAATTGCGCGTCACGTGAGGCGCCCACCAATTCCAGCTTGCGAATTGGTGGAGAAGTGCCAAGCTTCGACGTTGTGAGATCGCATCTCATCTTCAGCGCCAAGTGTTAGACCGGTTTGGACGAGCGTAATTGGAAGCCGTCTTGGCTGGTCCGTGTTCGTGTTGAAGACCAAGCTACACAGGCTTGCTTGTGTGGAAGCTCTAGCGCGTTCCCGTTCGAGACGGCCTCCCGTCGGACAGATCACAAGCATGTACCGGGCAAATAGCGGAAGCAAATCATCCGGGCAGGATTGATGTGCATGACGGACGGGTGGTGAGCCAGACTCAGGCGTCTGGAAGGCTCGGACTACCTTGATTTCTGCCGACTTATCTAAGCGAGGGCGGGGGAGGGCGGCATGTGGGTGAAGCGATGGGCGGGCTGACGATCTCGGCGACCCACTTGCATTTGCATTGAGCTCCGCGCCAGCCACGCGCGCGATGTGAAGAGTTGCAGACAAGTGTGAGTTTGGTGCGGCAACAGGGTGTTGGTCTCGCCTAAGTCGCATTCGGGCCGCCTTGCGGACCGCATTGCGGTCGGGATGGCGGGAGTGGAACGATCGAATCGGCCAACAGCGTGAGCCAGCCTTCGTGGGAACCCAAACGACGCAAGCCAGAACTCCGACAAGGGATAGCGTCATTGTGAGCGAGAGCGTTGCATCGAACGGCAACGCAGCATGAATTTTCAGCTCTAATTTGACAGAGTCTCCCCAGGCTCGAGCGGTAAGGCGTCGCCATGTCATCGAGCCAGCCGAGTCGCAGCACCGGCCCAGAAGTGTGGTCGTGTCGGAGGCACCAAGAAGCCTGGTGCGGTTGAGCGAAAGTGGCTCAACAAAGCGCCACGTCGGGATCCAAGACACTCTCTTGCTATCCAAACGCCAGGCTTTTCTTGCAACCCACGAGATCGTGAGTGTCGGCGCTACGAGGTCGCTTTTCCAGCTCCAGACGGACTTGCAAACGGCGCAAGAATTCGAACGATGGCGGTCCCAAGGAAAGTCAAAATCAAAGAAAGCGTTTCGGCAGGCGGGGGTTGGAAGCGTGACAGCTCGCTTACGGTGAAGCACGGCGCTCACCAATGCAGTCGGGCTTGGCCTTTTCTTTACCGGAAACGGGATGGGATTGGGATTTTTCTTCAGTTTTCTTTTTGGGCCCGCCCGACGAGCGGATCCAAGTGTATTCGGCGGCGTTGGGCGAGTGCCCGCTCAACGTTCGTTTCTGGTTGGTGGGCTGGATGTGGTGGCGTAGAGTTTTGACCCTCCGCACAAAGTTTTGGGCGGTGTCAAGTGGTCAACTCCGTCGCTGCTCTCAGCGTGCGCTTCAGCGAGGCCCGCAAGCGGGTGTACCGGTCGCCATGCGGTGGCTGCATTCAGGCTCAACCTCGGTTCCACCGAAAACGGTGTGTGTGGAAGCTGCACCGCAATGCACCGAAGACGCAGGACAAGGCTGTCTTGCAATCCGAGTGTCCCGTAGTTGCATCGCATTCATGCCGCCATGCAACCACGGCTCTTGGACGCGAGTGGGGGGCCAGCTGAGCGCGCAACGCAAGTTTTTCACGCCGCAGAACGTGTTGCATCAGCCGCAACAACCCCGTTCGGAAGCCACTTTTCCGACGGATCAAAAATTTCGCTCGCTGCTGCTGCTGCTGCTGCTG